TGACATTTTTCCAAAGTTGTTAGTCCATGGTTTTCGTGCTAAATTGGCCATTTTTCCATCTTTGTTTTTTCAGGCAATCTAGCCCAGGAAAATGTGTTTTATGATATTCTAAAGCGAAAAAACGCATTTCTAGACTATAAAAACAAGAAGTTCGCAAAGTCGAAAAATTGACATTTTTCGAAAGGGGTTAACTTATGGTTTTGGTCCCAAAATGGTTATTTTTCCAACATATTTTTTAGTTAATATAGTTCACGAAAATGTCTTTTACTTTATTCTAGAACGAAATAACGCATTTCTAGGCTATAAAAAACAGCAGTTCAAAAGTTGAAAAATTGACATTTTTCCAAAGGGGTTAACCCATGGTTTTGGTCCAAAAATGGCTATTTTTCCAACTTTTTTTTTCAGGCAATATAGCCCAGGAAAATGTCTTTTACGTTATTCTAGAACGAAAAAACGCATTTCTAGCTTATAAAAACAACAAGTTCAAAAAGTCGAAAAAGTGACATTTTTCCAAAGTTGTTAGTCCATGGTTTTCGTGCTAAATTGGCCATTTTTCCATCTTTGTTTTTTCAGGCAATCTAGCCCAGGAAAATGTGTTTTATGATATTCTAAAGCGAAAAAAAGCCTTTCTAGGCTATAAAAACAAGAAGTTCAAAAGTCGAGAGATTGACTTTTTTCCAAAGGGGTTAACCCATGGTTTTGGTCCAAGAATGGCCATTTTTCCAACTTTTTTTTTTAGAGAATATAGGCCGGAAAATGTCTTTTGCATTATTCTAGAACGAAAAAACGTATTTCTAGGCTATAAAAACGACAAGTTCAAAAAGTCGAAAAATTGACATTTTTCCAAAGGGGCTAACCCATGGTTTTGGTCCCAAAATGGCCATTTTGTCAACTTTCTTTTTAGCCAATATAGGCCAGGGAAATGTCTTTTACGTTGTTCTAGAACGAAAAAACGCATATCTACGCTATAAAAACAAGAAGTTCAAAAAGTCGAAAAATTGACATTTTTCCAAAGGGGTTAGTCCGTGGTTTTTGTCCGATATTCGCCATTTTTCCAACTTCCTTTTTTTTAGGCAATATAGGCCAGAAAAATGTCTTTTACGATATTCTACAACATAAAAACGCATTTCCAGGCTATAAAAACAAGAAGTTCAAAAAGTCGAAAAATTGACATTTTTCCATGCTTTTCGTCCAAAAATGGCCATTTTTCCAACTTTCTTTTTTTAGTCAATATAGGCCAGGAAAGAGGCCTTTACGTTATTCTAGAAGAAAAAGACGCATTTTTAGCCTATAAAAACAAGAAGTTCAAAAAGTCGAAAAATTGACATATTTCCAAAGGGGTTAACGCATGGTTTTGGTCCAAAAATGGCTATTTTTCCAACTTTTTTTTTTTAGGCAATATAGGCCAGGAAAATGTCTTTTACGATTTTATAGACCGAAAAAACGCATTTCTAGGCTATAAAAACAAGAAGTTCAAAAAGTCGAAAAATTGACATTTTTCCATGGTTTTGGTCCAAAAATGGCCATTTTTCCAACTTTCTTTTTTTAGTCAATATAGGCCAGGAAAGAGGCCTTTACGTTATTCTAGAAGAAAAAACGCATTTTTAGCCTATAAAAACAAGAAGTTCAAAAAGTCGAAAAATTGACATTTTTCCAAAGGGATTAACCCATGGTTTTGGTCCAAAAATGGCCATTTTTTCAACTTTTTTCTAGCAAATATAGGCCAGGGAAATGTCTTTTACGTTATTCTAGAACGAAAAAACGCATTTCTAGGCTATAAAAACAACAAGTTCAAAAGTCGAAAAATTGACATTTTTTTCAAAGGGGTTAGTCCGTGGTTTTTGTCCGAAATTGGCCATTTTTCCAACTTTCTTTTTTTTAGGCAATATAGGCCAGGAAAATGTCTTTTACGAAATTCTAAAACGAAAAAACGCTTTTCTAGGCTATAAAAACAAGAAGTTCAAAAAGTCGAAAAATTTACATTTTTCCAAAGGGGTTAACCCATGGTTTTGGTCCAAAAATGGCCATTTTTCGAACTTTCTTTTTTTAGTCAATATAGGCCAGGAAAATGTCTTTTATGTTATGCTAGAACGAAAAAACTCATTTCTAGGCTATAAAAACAAGAAGTTCAAAAAGTCGAAAAATTGACTTTTTTCAAAAGGGTTTAACCCATGGTTTTTGTCCGAAAATGGCTATTTTTCGACCTTTTTTGTTTTAGGCAATATAGGCCAGGAAAATGTCTTTTACGATATTCTAGAACGAGAAAAAGCCTTTCTAGGCTATAAAACGAAGAAGTTTAAAAAGTCGACAAATTGACATTTTTCCAAAAGGGTTAGTCCATTGTTTTGGTCCGAAATTGGCCATTTTTCCAACTTTCTCTTTTTTAGGTAATATAGGCCAGGAAAATGTTTTTTACGATATTCTAGAACGAAAAAACGCATTTCTAGGCTATAAAAACAAGAAGTTCCAAAAGTCGAAAAATTGACATTTTTCCAAAGGGGTAAACCCATGGTTTTGGTCCAAAAATGGCCATTTTTCCAACTTTTTTTTTTAGGCAATATAGGCCAGGAAAATGTCTTTTACGTTTTTCTAGAACAAAAAAAAGCATTTCTAGGCTATAAAAACAAGAAGTTCAAAAAGTCGAAAAATTGACTTTTTTCCAAAGGGGTTAGTCCATGGTTTTGGTCCAAAAATTGCCATTTTTTCAACTTTCTTTTTTTTAGGCATTATAGACCATTAAAATGCCTTTTACGTTATTCTAGAACGAAAAAACGCATTTCTAGGCTATAAAAACAACAAGTGCAAAAAGTCGAAAAATTGACATTTTTTTCTAAACGGGTTAACCCATGGTTTTGGTCCAAAAATCGCCAGTTTTTCAACTTTTTTTTTAGCCAATATAGGCCAGGAAAATGTCTTTTACGTTATTCTAGAACGAAAAAACGCATTTTTAGCCTATAAAAACAAGAAGTTCAGAAAGTCGAAAAATTGGCAATTTTCCAAAGGGGTTAGTCCATGGTTTTGGTCGAAAAATGGCCATTTTTCCAACTTTCTTTTTTTTAGGCAATATAGGCCAGGAAAATGTCTTTTACGATATTCTACAACAAAAAAACGCATTTCTAGGCTATAAAAACAAGAACTTCAAAAAGTCGAAAAATTGACATTTTTCCAAAGGGGTTAGTCCATGGTTTTGGTCCGAAATTGGCTATTTTTTCAACTTTCTTTTTTTTAGGCAATATAGGCCAGGAAAATGTCTTTTACGATATTCTACAACAAAAAAACGCATTTCTAGGCTATAAAAACAAGAACTTCAAAAAGTCGAAAAATTGACATTTTTCCAAAGGGATTAACCCATTGTTTTGGTCCAAAAATGGCCATTTTTCCAACTTTTTTTTTTAGGCAATATAGGACAGGGAAATGTCTTTTACGTTATTCTAGAACGAAAAAACGTATTTCTAGGCTATAAAAACAAGAAGTTCAAAAAGTTGAAAAATTGACTTTTTTCCAAAGGGGTTAGTCCATGGTTTTGGTCCAAAAATTGCCATTTTTCCAACTTTTTTTGTTAGGCAATATAGGCCAGGAAAATGTCTTTTACGTTATTCTAGAACGAAAAAACGCATTTCTATGCTATAAAAACAACAAGTTCAAAAAGTCGAAAAATTGAAATTTTTCCAAAGGGGTTAACCCATGGTTTTGGTCCATAAATGGCCATTTTTCCAACTTTCCTTTTTTAGGCAATTTACGACAGGAAAATGTCTTTTACGATATTCTAGTACGAAAAAACGCATTTCTAGGCTATAAAAACAAGAAGTTCAAAACGTCGAAAAATTGACATTTTTTCCAAAGTGGTTAATCCGTGGTTTTGGTCCATAAATGGCCATTTTTCCAACTATTTTTTTAATACAATATAAACGAGGAAAATGTCTTTTACGAGATTCTAGAAAGAAAAAACGCCTTTCTAGGCTATAAAAACAAGAAGTTGAAAAAGCCCAAAAATTGACATTTTTCCAAAGGGGTTAACCCATGGTTTTGGTCCAAAATTGGCCATTTGTCCATCTTTCTTTTAGCAATCTAGGGCAGGAAGATGTGTTTTATAATATTCTAGAGCGAAAATTGTCTTTCTAGGCTATTAAAAGATGAAGGTGACAAAGTCTAAAAATTGAGATTTTTCCAAAGGGGTTAATCCGTGGTTTTTGTCCAAAATTGCCCATTTTTTTATCTTGTTCTTTAGGCAATCTAGGCCAGGAAAAGGTGTTTTACGATATTGTAAAAGAACCAAAAAACGGTTTCCTAGGCTATAAAAACTAGAAGTTGAAAAAGTCGAAAAATTGACATTTTTCCATGGTTTTGGTCCAAAATTGGCCATTTTGCCATCTTTTTTTATAGGCAATGTAGGGCAGAAAAATGTTTTTTTAGAGAGAAAAAACGCTTTTTTAGGCTTAAAAAACAAGAAGTTGAAAAAGTCGAAAAATTGAGATTCCATAACCGCCCAAAGCAAGACAGCTGCATGGTTACAGGTTACTCATGCACATGGATTCCTCAGCGCTTGGTTATATCGTGGTGCCATTGTACACACATACCAGCTTTTTAAATTTTGTTTTTGTATTTACTCAGACTAGCTATCATGGATTTTCTAAATGGCTTAAGTCACCCGATGTAAAGGAATCCAAGAGAGTCTTGGATTCTGAATACCATGGCCTGGATTCCCGATAGGATTCCAGTTACTGAATCCGGATTGTTTGTCAGAGGTATTTTGATTCTGGATTCCAATTTTTACTAGGATTCCAGATTCCTTGTGCTCTATTTCGGATTCCAAAGTCCAGGATTCCAGATTCCACTAGCTAAATATTACATATTCGGATTCCACAAGCAAAAAATTTACCAGATACCAGATTCTGAATTCGGGATTCCCTTAAGACATTTGATTTGGGGTGAAAACTAAGTCAAAAGGGGTACAGATTGAAATGAAGATAAATATGTTTTGTATGCCTTAATTAAAGATGAGAAGAACTAAAATGATAAACATTGTTGACATTTCTTTTATTTCTTTTCATACAAAGGAGATAATTATTTACAAATAAAATCTGACAATTCGAGTGTTGAACTTGTCTTTCTAAACCTTAATACAATAGAACACTGACTGAAAGAGTTGCATGTTAATGTGTCTGATCTTCACAAGGATACCAGGAGTGTCTGAACAAATTCTTTGTCTGTGACACAATTCAATTAACTTCAAGAAGACTTTGTAACAGATTCTTGTAGCTTACTAATCGAGGTAAATCCTTGGGACCAATTCGTTGCTGAAAAGAATGACAAATGCATAAGGAAACAATAGTTGCAACAAAAAAAACTTGCTTAATTTTACTCTAAATTCCAATTAAATGTGTAAAAGAGAAAATTATTAAGGAAATTCTATACAAAGTAAAATGATGTCAACTTACCGAAGATTTCGGATCTGGAGCAGCAGCAGGGACGAATTTCTGTGAAGAAACTGAGGAAGGGAGAAACAATTTTTTACAACTGCGAACTTTTAGAAATAATGAATTTGAAGGATTTTCATTCTAGAAGGATAAATTAACTCTTGTTACTTCAAATGCATTTCCTGACTATCGAATCCTTTAAGCCCCAATATCCACATGTATACAAATTCTCCACACTACTGACCTTCATACATTTCCTTAAAGAATTAGATGAGAGATTTTGATATTAAAGATCAAAGCATTTTCCCCTTAGTGATCAGTCTATCAATTCTCATGGCCTTTTGTCTTGATTTCGTATTGATTTTGCCGGGAGAAAATTGATGTTGATCATTCTGCGGTGTTGCTGAATGCAGAATGAAGAATTTCATCTCACCTGGGGAATCTCTCCAATTCAGTAATTTCAAGAACTGTTCATAGTTAGCTTCATTTCGTTCGTTTCTTTCAACTTTTTCCATGAGTGCCTGTAGCAAGTCGTTCTTGGCTGGCACATTGAACCGTCTACAAGTGTTGTACAGTTCTTGAAGTGGAAGAAATCCAGTGCTGTGGAAAAGAAAAAAGTGTTTAAAATCAGGTTATGTTAGAAACTGCCACATTCAGCCAAAACATTCACTTGTCAGAAACTTTTCAAGAACTGCCAACTTGGTACCCTGGGTACCAGAGGTTTTTTCTCGCATGCATAGGGGAGCTTCAAAGGCCGAAAACACGAGCGGCAAAGTGGGTCACTTTCTTAGACCTGACGGAAACTGGAAACCGCGCATGAAAAGCCTCTGGCACCCAGGGTATCAACTTGGTGATTGGATTTTTAAAATCCCAAAACCACTCCAAGCAATAAAACAGTACCATGACAAAGTACTGCTGAAGAGGTTTTATCGTGGAATTTCATAGTCAACTCTTCCTCAAAGTCTAAAAGGCATTGCTGTCAACTCTCCCGGATAATCCAGGGGACTCCAGATTTTGGACCATGTTTCCTGGTCTCCATATTAGAGGCTGATATCCCCCGGATAATTGCCAAAGTTGCTATTTCTTGTAGACTTGACTTTCCGACCATAAAATTTCAAATATTTTGTGTTGTTTGAGCTACTGTTAACATGGAACGTTTCCTCGTAAATTTTGGTATGCCACTGTAATTTAAGCAACATTATGTGGCTAAATATGAACTGTTGATGTGCTATATATGTCAATGGGAATCAACAAGCATTTTTGGTACAAATGAAGTCATTTGCCATGCGATATGACGTCATCTAACATTTCTTCCCTATCAATTCTCAATATTTGATGACATGGGGGGTTGACAGCCCTGAAAAGTGATCAAGTGGTCGTATAATATATCCACACCCACTTTAATGGATATTCTAATGGGGATTGGAGCTTACAAAATGCCAGGGGATTAAAATATTTAACTCAATCCCCAGCAACACAGTTTTATTAAAAACTAACCTCTTTCTTCATTTGATGTAAGTTTGCATAATGACAGAATGGGAAACTGCCAGAAAATGTTTTCTTACAAACCATGCTCACTCACCCAAGCACATCCTCGTGTCTACAAGAGTCCATCATGTTGGAGAAATCCTCAAAGTTTGCTTTTCTAAGCTGTTCTTGGATTGTAACAATCAACATCTGGAGATCATCTTCTTCTTCCTGAGAAGCATTAAAACATGCAGTGATTAATAATCATCAGTTATTATGAACTATCCTGAGGGGGGGAGGGTGTTATTCAACAAACTTTTATACGCGGAGTTTCTGCCCCGAGGTCCAACCCCTTACCCTTTTAAATACCACTTTTGGTGGCCCCTTTCTTACACCTTCAATTGACAACTGGTACCCTAACTGGAAGTTTGCATCCCTTTTAACTACTGTAAATGCTCTGTCTTCAAAATATAAGAAAATCACCAAACCAGAGTGTTTTCTCAACTTTTTCTTGGTAAAATAATGCATCCAAGGGCCATTTGGGCCTTTCTACAGACAAAAATGACAGATTTGCCTACCTTTTCATAAATTTTAACTGGCAAAATCATAATCCTTTATTATACCTAAAGACTGAAAAAGTTACCCCTTTTGAACAGTCTCTCCTTGTATAGGCCATTAGGGGGAGTACCCCCCCCCCGCCTCCCCCTTGTGAATTACCAACTATACTCAGAAGTCATTAACCCATTAAATTCAAAAGTGACCAACATCAACTTTCTCCTGACAATATCACTACATATTGAAGAGGAATGGTAATGAGAATGAATCAAATGATCACCAACAAAGGGAAAATGCTCTGATCCTTTATCAAATTCTCTCATTTAATTCTGTAAAGAAATGTATGTAGATCAGTCCGAAGAATTTGTATGTGGATCTTTGGGCTTAATAAAGGGTTAACCATTGTTGTTCATCTCACCATAGAATCTCCAAAGTGTCTGGATACTGTCAGTTGTTCATGAATTGTCAGCAAGCCTTCTCCGTAATGCTGAAGAATTTCCCTGTCAAAGAAATATAAGTTTGTTTGTATTTGCTCATAAATGGGAAAAGACAAATATATCAAAGTAATCCACAATCTATTAAAATATGTTAGTATTAAAGAATAGCACATTTCAAGAAAATTTATGACATCATTAATTTAGATACTGGTAATTATTATTTGTTATAACTGACAATTGATACAAAATTAAAGATAAAAAGGAAAGACAGTTTAAAAGGTTTCAAGGACTATGTTTGGTGATTGCTTACAAGTGCAAAACAAATCTACTGTCTTCATCTTTGAAATAATTTATATCTTACTCTGAAGTTATTTGTGTTCAAAAGTTACCTAAATCTACTGGCAGGTATTTTGCCAGAGTTGTCTTGATCAAATCTCTGGAACTCTGATTTAACTTCCTCATATTTGCTTTCTAGGATTTGTTTGAGTTTGGGGAGGATGAACTGAATATTGGCCTGAGGAAATTCAGATGAATGTTTCTCCATGTACATGACGGCATACTCGTCAGCGTCAATTAGGATGAACTTATATTTATGGAACTCCACATTTGCGCCAATGTACAAGTCCTGCATGAAAATAAGACAAACAAACAAACAAAAGACAATCACAACTTGCATCATTAAAATAATAATCAGGATTGGGTGTCTTTATACTTTTTTTTACCAAAAATGCAGCCCTTAGCCCTGGCAATAACTAGAACATGGAATAAACACGAGAATAGTCTAGAATAGGTTATCATCTGTGGAAATTAATCATTATAGGTTCATAGTCTGACATATGGTGGGTATTCTTTGTACCTTGTCTAGACTAGGGTACTAGCAAACTGCAGTTGAGCATTATATTGCCTAGGCTTTGGGTTCCAGGGTCCAATCAGCACACCCTCTTGTAAAAATCCAGAGACCCCCAGAACCAATCTTAAAAAATCTTTATTCCTTTTTTCAGAAACAAGAATGAAAAGAAGACTACACAAAAAATAGAAGACTTTACTTACTGGAGCAAAAAAGTAGTTGACACCATCAGGTTTCTTGATTCTTCCCCTCTCCAAAAACTTTCCGCCAAGTATTCCAGAATTCCTCTGGGGTGGCTCAAACACAAGGATTGTGTCATCAGAGAGGAAATATGAAATAATGAACCTACAATAAAAAATGTGCTGTTATTCCTTTATAACCAAAAGTCAGGCTTAGGTCATAGCTCACACAAGCCACTGCACCACTCAAGCGATCAAACAGGAGACTTTTGTTGTGAAGAATCTCTGTGGTAGAAGCAACTTGGAACATTGTGGAAAGTATGAAACTCTGTCATGACAAAATTGTCATAAAATAGGCGATGATATAAACTTGCAAACCCGTACATGCTATTATAGTACAAATGTATGTACCAGTGAGTTCTTGCCACAAAACACATAAAAGAGGTTTTACAGAAAGTGCTCAAATTGTACCCACAATTCAAGCAAGACGCCTTAATTTACTGCTTACCTTCTATCCATATCAATGGGGCGTGTTGTGTCAAGACGGGCAACAAAGCGAAGAACATTGCTTTCCAGGCCATGTCTGCAAGACAAATACTAATAGGGTGGGTATGACCTTTCAAATAAAAGTTACTGAGAGCAGAACATTCCTGCATAGATTTTAGGTATGCTGTAGGAAGCAAGAGGTGAATTTAACTTTTCAAAGTTTGTGGACAAAATCCTAAAGCATAGCTATTCCAGTGACAGCTGTTCAGCAACGCAGTACAATCATAATTACTTTCCAGAATTTAACAACTGAAATTAAGCATTTTTTTAACTTGAATGGGGGGTGGGGGATGGGGGATGGGGAGAAGTTGTTGCTAAAAAAAAATTCAGACTCGATTAAATGGATCCCTAATCTTTTGACATTCAGCATTGGTTTACAGCAGTTGACCTGATTCAGTCCAGGTTTTATTGACATCTTAGTATTGGGTCACTCTAGAGAGTAAAGGGGTTAACTTCATACCTATCCTTCTCCATGAATTTCTTGAAATCCCTGCGAGGAGGCTTAGGCCGAAGGCTGAGGCATGAGGCAAGGGAGTCTTCTTCAGAGCCAAATCCATTGTAAGGTGGCATTTCACGTGGTGGGAAAGGTTCTGCGTCAGCTTTGTAGTTGATGCTGTCAAAATTATCTATGGGTTAAAAAATTAAATAATAAGATTTGCGTTGGTGTCATAGTTCTTGTTCTATTAACTTCACCAGGCTTTACATAAACTACACTACTGCAGCTGACTACAGCTGAACTGAAAATTCCTATAAAAATCTTGTACCACTACCCACCAATGTGTACATTTCCTTTCATCTAATCCTAAACTCTTTCATTTCCCACCAAAATGAAGCCCAGCTACTAAAATGCCCACCAAAGGACAAAAAACTACAAGGCAAGAAAAGCAAAAGAAAAGGGAAAAAGACAAACAAAAACAAACTGTTGTGTCATTTTTAATCTTAATCTTATTTTTTTATCTCGAAATTTCTCTTTCTGCACATGCCCAAACTTCAGAGACTAATATTTTGCATCTGGATCAGAAGGCTGTGAAGTGTATAACCTGTAAACGGTGTTTTGTCAAGTTTCAGCTCTTTATAGATCAGCTCAACTAGCTTCAAAATGATATAATGGGTTAAAAAAAACCAGTCCAGATCAATTTGAGTCAACTTACCAATCCCATATTTTGACTTGTAGTATTCCTTTGTAAACTCATCACAGTCACAGATAAGCAGTTTGCGGCCCCAAATGTTGATAACAGAGCCTATAGTAAGGTCACTGTCGTGATAATAATCTGTATGAACTGCACCAGTCTGATAAGTAAAAAATAAACATAATTAGCTAACCATATTGCCAGCAGTTAACCTTTTCTAGGTTGTTATAAGTTCAAAAAGTTTTTCAAATTATTTTGTAACTGCATGATGAAGATGTGCAACACATCAAAGCAAAGACTTGTAAAATAAGGGTATTGCGATCTTTTAAAAATCCCTATTCAATTTATTACTTCTTTCTCAACAAAATGTTTTACTCATTCATATTTATAAATAAAACTTACAAGTATAACAGAATTTGTTATATTGACATGTGTAGCCCTAACTTTCTATCAACAAAATACAAATGATCATGAAACTTCCTAAGGGGTTTTTCACATGAACAAAAATTTAGCTTCCCTAATTTTCAAAATGAAATTGTTTATTTCAACAAAATTAATAAATATTAAATTTGATCACTTCTAGCAGGTTAACAACAAATTAATTTTGACAACATTCTACCCCAACAAAAACAAGCATCTTACCTTCAGGCTATCTAAAATCCATCTTCCCCCATGTCCCATGGGTCCAAAAACATTCAACACTGTTCGTCCAGTTATCTCTCCTGGCTGGCGCAATGCTGCAGGCTCCTGATTTGAAGAAGAAACATCTCATTTAATGACATAAAATCAAAACAGAGCAGGCACAAAATGACCCTGACCATATAACTGCCATACCTCAATCAATTGCCTCCCTCAAATAATTACCCCCCTTTGACAGAAATATTTAAAATAATCGACTCTCTCAAATAATTTATTAGTCAACCCCACCAAACACCCCCCTCCCCCCACAACCCCTCTCACGATCTTCTCTTTTTTTTAACCACCAAAACGGATTTGTAACGATTTAAGTTCTGATGCCAACGATATTGACTTTGAAAATTAGTCAAGGAACTGAATTTGGAACACTTAAAAAGAACATATTCTGTTTACTTCTGTTTTTTAGATTTAATGGCATAATAAAACACAAATATTATTTTAGGGGACAACTTCCAGGGAGCAATATTTGAAATAATCACCTCCCTTGAACAATTGCCCTACTTTTGTGCCAAAAAAATAATCGGCCACAGCTATTATTCAAGGAATTACAGCAGATTCATAAAATTGTTAAAATAGTGATAACGAACCTTTGGTAATCTTGCACGCCTTAGGAACATTGGCACAGCATCACGGCCACTGTTATTTGGAATCCTCTCACATATCTCTACAGTATCATCAGCAAGGAAGTAATGCAATTCCATTTCACGAGCATCACCAAACATGCTACAAAGACAGAAATGAAGTGCTATGTGACATTAAGAATGTTGATATCGACATCGAAGTTGTTGAAGGAGCCATTAAATCGGACTATTGATGTGTTTCCTTACTTTATGTATATCTTTTTATTTCATTATTATTATTACTATTTTTTTTGCTTTTTAATTCGACAGGAATTGTAAATAGTGTTTTTGAATGAATAGTTTTTTCTTTTTTTTTAAGCGAATTAATTGTAAATAGGATTTTAATAGTTAGCATTGTTGTTAATAAAATTTCTTCTTCTTCAAGACAGAAATGATCAGCAGGCCATGGTGATTGAACAATACAACACAATATTGACATGTATGAGCTAAAGAAAAGGACAACTGAAATGACTAACAAAACAATTCTATCAATTTTCAAGAAACTTCTTCACTGGTTGCAAAGACCTGAAGAATGTCATTATGTGTGGTTAAATCAGAACTTTGGGAGGAAGTTGATTTAATAAACAGCAGTATTTTAGAATATTAGAGAAAGAAAAATCAGACTTACCTGTCAGAGTCATCCCACAAACAATAAAATCGCAGCACGTTTCGATCAAATTGAAGAAACTGTTTAAGGGTATCCTCTTTTTCATAGGGTCGCAAAGGCTGCATGCTCTCAACCAACTGAAGAAAATAACACATTTCAGAGAAAAGTATTGACAGGTATTAAAGACAAAGTAGCCTGTGCCACTGACAAAACAAAACCTCATGGTTAAGATCATCTGTGAAAAAGTGCCGAAATTCTTGTTTATCATTACCTTAACAATCAATAACCCCCCGCCCCCAAAGGAAACTAAATCAGACAAGACTTAGTTCGCCTACTGACAAGTTGATAATATCTCTACAAAACAATAGAAAAGTGAGGACTGGTGCATCACCATCATTCCACTGAGAACATAAATTAACATCATTTGCTATGGAAAGTAAGCATAAGTCAACTGTTTAATGTCAATTTAACAAACCTTCTTACGATGGCCAGTGTAAGGATCACTTGGAATACCCTCTGGGTTGTTGATTCGAACTCCAAGTTTGCGAAGAAAATTGTGAGTGAAGTCATCACACCCCTGTCAACAAATCAAGGTAGTTACATTAAGTTTTGTCAGGTTTTGTAAAAACAAACTCATGTCATTTTTCCTTCAAGTTGCACCAGTACTTACAGTGATCTTAAATGTGCGGGAATACAATGTGATTTCTTGACCAACATTGAAGTTTTCCACAGTATAAAACTGTTCATCATTTGGTGGAGGAAGTGGAATACGATGACGACGAATCAAGGTTCCTGTTGGTGACAGTCAGTTTTTCAGTTATTACTGTGTGATATGCAAGGGCCCTGCCCCCCTTTTGTGGTTTATTAAAATTTCAGCAATACATGTTCAATATGGAATCCAGGCATTTGCTACATTTAAGCCTCCAGAATGCACTAGATTGCATCTCAGCTTCTTAAAATCTTATTGAGCAATCACTTCAATCTCAAAAATTTTCCTGGAGGAGGCTGCATGCGCCCGAAACAGTACTGATGGGCGCTATCGTGCCCATATTGCTACTATATACTAAATCTATGGGCCCCCTCTATCACAAAATCCTCTGTCCGCCCCTGATATGTTCTCTAGATGTAATATGTTAATGATGGACCGGTATATCACACATACTACAGTATTGATGTCATTCATACCCTGGGGAATTCCACTATTCTCGACTTTGGGTTCAATCACTTGAATGCTATCATCTTCCAAATAAAAGTAAATTTTGCACCTAAAGTAAGCAGAGATAAAAAAAATTAGGTTCAAAATACATTATTTTGTTGTTAGAACCTGACAGAATGGTAGGAAACAAAGAAACAAATAACAATTTAGTGGTCACACATCCACCAAGTGGTTCTTTCACTTCCATTCTGGTTGGAATTTGATTTTCAAAGTGTTGGTTTTTTTAGGTGAGGGAAAAACTGGAGTACTTGGAGATGAACCTCCTGAAGAAAGGGCAAGCACTAACAACAAACTTCACCCACATATGTTGTCTGGGGTTCAAGGCCAGACCACATTTAAGTGAAAGGTAAGTGACTTCACAACTGCACCACATACCCTTGCCTCCATGAGAATGAGTGACCTTTGCATTTCAAGTTTTTACTCACAGGGATCGAAAAAGTCCTTTCAGGTTAAGTATAGCCTAGGACAAGTAGATTTCCATTCCAAGCAAGTAACTTTACTTACTCGCCTGCCGATGGTCAAAGACTGAGGCAAATTATATCATAACTAAAAAGTAAAGTATTTAGACAAGCATGCAACTGCCACATGCAGGCAAAATTTGAGAGGAGCTTTTACTCAAGCTTGTACTCAATAAAGGAAATATGGCAAACCTTCTGATTCTGTACTGTTCTTCTCTTTTCTCATGTACAGCTTCTTGAAAGTAGGCATCAAAACATAGAACCTGTGTAACAATATAAGCAAGAAAATTCAAAAGCTGTCAATAAGCTTCATGGAGCCATGATTATTATGAATATGGGCGTCAACAGCCTCAATACTTTTCGAGCTACACAGGAATAAAAAAATGAACATAATAGAACAGTCCATAGTGTCTACCCATTTGAACCATTCAATCTTCAAATCTCTGGCTGGTACAACCCTGAGTGGAGTAATCTCATATCTAAGGATGCCCCTTGCCCTCACCCCAGAGGGTTCAGGCCATTTACCAGTACCTATCGCACAGTGGGTCTCTACTTTTGCACTTGGTCATCTCATGTACAAGAAAGGCCTGTTTTAAATGCTACCCATCACATGTGCCAGGTCTACACTGTAATGCAAATGAGTGCAAAATAATTAATTAATCTTATTAGCATGAAATTTTGCACATGCAAAGTTTGATGTTTCAAGCAGACCTAAGGTAAAGGTAAGGTGCACATGAGCCAAAGGACCAAATGGTCTGAGCTTATCCCATTTTCCTTTGCATTAAGCATGCCTAGAAGTATTGCTACTCCCCGCCCCCCTGAGCAGGATGCTAGTCCATCACAGGGTTATCCCGCAGCAGTATGTTGCCAGCACCCATTTATACACCTGGGTGAAGAAAGACAAAATGGTGTGAAGTTCCTCGTCTAAAGAAACAACACGACAAGCAAGGCTTGAACCACGGACCGCCAGATCTGGAGTGCGAGGTGTTAAGAGCTCAGCAACACACCCCTCCACACACCTAACCCACTTTGTAATTAAATCATCTCTTATATATAAGCTTCACCTGTCTATCAAATGCAACCCATGCTGGTGCCTCTCCTCCGATCCCTTTTGGATAAGCACTGTGTCTTGGTTTCAGCTTTTGTCCTGGTAAAGGATCGCCACCTAAATAGAAATAGATGAACGAGAAAAGTAAGATTTTCCCTTAAGTTTTACTACTACACTTAACTTATAAAGCCGTAAATAAGTAACCTTAAGCTTATTGAAAGTATCACTAAAAACAAAATTCCAGTTAACCGTTATTGAAGTGAGACGAAAAGAAAAAACACAAAAAGAAACTAATAGCTGCATATGGCTTACCGATTCCACTTTTGTCTTCTCCAACATACACAGATACATCATTCCGGTAATCAAATTGATGTGATTTGTGAAATTTTGTTTTTCCAATCTGTCGAGAGAAAGAGTCGATTCAGAAAAGTTTCACGACCAAACGTTGCGTTGATCGAATTTGAATCAGAACCAACACTTCCTACCTTTCTGTCAAAAACTTGACCTGGAAGGAAAGGAAGAGCCATGACAATTCTTGCAGCAAAATCCTCTCTGCTTCTCTGATGGTTGCTTTTATTCTAATTCCAAGATGTCTGCCTTGTTGCTAATAAATGGCCGTCGCTATGATTTTGGGGTTAACCATGGCAACGTGTTCCAAATCTTACGTCAGTTTTGATTGGCTAAAAGCGTTCTATTTTTCATATTGCACCAATCAGAGCAAAGAATAGAATATGGAATTTCTCCCGCGAACTGCATTTGTTTGTGGTTTCTGTTCGTTGAAGAAAGGCTTGATTTTCCGAGAGACAAAATATGTGATCGATGGTTTTCTTTCACAACATTAACCCCGGGGCTCGCGTCCAAGTAAAATGGCGAGGGGAAATTGAGGACGGAACTATCCGATACGTGGGGAAATTGGTGACTAAAGATGGCGATTGGGCTGGTCTTGAGCTAGACAATAGAGGTAGTGTTAACAAGCTTATAAGTGGTGCTTCGATCTTTTTGAAAAATTTAAATCATTCGTAACAGGGAAAATGAATCAAGGTCAAGTTTATATCGATGTCTAAAGCCCAAGTTTTTGGTGATAAACGTTGGACTGAAATGTCCTTGTGTGGGCAAGTACGTTGTTGGGGTGACATGTACCAATGCCTCGTCTTTTAATCGTAGCTGATCGAAACAGTTGTTTGATGGTAAGGAATAAGCAAGAGGTCATTCTGTTTGAGTTCTCTAAAACCTTCTTATTTAAACCTATCAATATTTTTTACCTTCATTAAGCTTTTAAAAAGTATGAAATGCCAATTTGAAAATATATACAGCCCTGCAGCAAAAAATGCACCCTAGCCAGATAGTAGTGTGAATTGGTTGGTAAGAGACATTACACTTGATCCAACAAGATTGAACAAGTAATAATGATCTCGAGTCTAAGAAGCCGCAGACAGCTGTTTTTGCTTTCTTAGTCTTCATCAGTAGAGAGCAGCTATGACTTAGGGCCGCATCTTCCCAAAAAAGCAATACCGTTCTGTAAGTCATCTGGTGAACAGCTGAACGTGTAGTTTCAGGGAGAGGGGGGATATTCTGGTGTCTATGAGGCCCTGTTAGGGTAAATTTCCGACAAGCGTAATGGCCTTGAAACAGCGAAATGGGACAGCAGAAATTTCTTTTCGGTTACTTTTTTTAATTTAGTTTTATTTCTCTGCCCACTATGAAAATATAATATGGTGTCATTGCATGTGTATTGTAATTATTATTTGTTTTTCTTTTGTTTCATTTTCAATGTAATTTGAAGCTTTGTATTTACTATTTGCAATGAACTTTTTAAATATATATAAAGAGAAATTGTGATAAACAACACAAAGATGGGTTGAGGCCACGACTCTGACAGAAAAGCACAAATACAATATTATTGTAAGATACCGACACAGACTCAATACGCAAAACGACCAGTTTTGGAATTCAGACTAGGGACATATGTAACCCTCCTCAGGGGGCCCCCTCTGTGACTGCTCCTTCTCCTCCTACCTCATATATCCCAATCACGTTTGTCTCTGAAGTGAAGCCCCTTACATTCTGTAAGAATTTGCAGAATTGGCATCTAATATCTTTACAATATTTTAAATAACTCCACCACTATCACATAACCCTCAAACTTAGAGTAGAAAACCAAAAAAACCGGTGAATTCAACACCATGTTGATATTTTGTCTTTGCTATGATTTTCAGTTGGTAACACAAGCGGTCTGTACAAGGGCATCCAGTACTTTCACTGCAGAGATGGATATGGCATATTCACTCATGCAAGAAACATCAGATTTGTTCCAAGCAAAAGAAGGTAAGTCAAGCTTTGCAAACATAGAAAACTACAGATTTTGTTAATACCTAATTTTAAAATGAGCTTATCACAAGATGGTGTAGTTGATCTTATGGATGACAATTCCCTCATTACAGGTTACATGATACCTACAGGCCAGTTTCTAAAACCTCCTTTGTAGACGAGACTCTCTTTGCTAGGACTGAAGGTACAGATACTTCTTTCACATTTTCAATTTTCAATTCAGCAACAGCTAGGAAGATCTAGCCACTTATTTTTAGACCCTGAAAAATGTTCTGGCTGGGATTTCAAATCAGCACCTCCTGCTCAACCCACAACCCTGCATGTGAATACAGATATATTTAAGTGTATCAATTCAACAGATTGTTTTCACTCACATGGCCAGCAGCTATTTGAATTTTTTTGCGATAAAAGGAAGTGTTTGTATAACAAAAAATTCAACTGCCACGGGAGGCCTAAGCTAATTCTAATGATAAATTATTATAATTTTTTATAGCTCGATTCAAATCTATGTTCTCTTCCTCCTCAACAGTGACGCCAGTGAAAAGCTACTCTGATCCTGAGGTTATATCACACAAATACCTTAACAGAGTAAAGACATTGCTTCAAGGTCAGTAATTATTTTCACTTATTCTATTATTATTTGACTCCAGTTCTCTAACCACTCCATTATTAGCATTTAGTGACTTACCTTATTGTTTACAGTGCTCTTAGGACTGCCATGTAAATGCCAGCATTGGAGAGGTTTTGTTTAACTTTTGAATTGCATTTATCTTTATTTATCAATTTTAATTTGCAATAGGTGAAGACGCTTGGTCTGATTTAAAGGCAATTAAGTTCAATAAAAGCCACTCGGTTGGAGCACACATCCCTTGTGCAACAAGCCAAAGAAGTCCATCAGCAATGGCAATGAACCCAAGGGAAGATAACAGCTGGAAGACGCCATTTATTTCCCCTTCTTCTATTCCTAACATCCACGTTCCACGGCCAATTCTCAGGCGAATGCTGAGAATGGAATACTTTGGTACAACAATACCAAGGCATTCTAGTCTCTCCTGATGAAGAAACATCTATATGTAACAACCCATGCTCACCAAAGGTTTTGAAGATATGTTCATGTTTTGGGTGAAGATTTAAGGCGTGTTTTAGCAAAGTTTAGATACTAAATTTTTTATTTACTGAGATGTATTAGTTTCAACAGCAAGAAGTAGAGTCTTACCCTTTGAGACAGACACCAAAGAGAAATTTCTGATGCTCCCCCTGTTGTATGTTAAATCCATTTTCAGACCGTTCAGCCAGTATTCAACACTAGGTATAGTGCATGCCTGATTAAATGAGCCGTGGTGCCAGCCTGGTTTGTTGGGCTAGTTTGCTTTAGCAAAATTGTGGCATTCTAATAAACTCAACAAAAACCAACTTTGTGTTTACAACCAGTCAGTGATTTGGCAGCAAATCTGGTGTAAACCAAGGATAAAAGTCACCTTAGCAAAACCAACCAGACCAAAAAAAACAGGCCAGCATGGCTCATATAGTCACGCCCCCAAAGATTTAGAATTTCCTTTGCTTGTTAGCCCTAGTTAATCGTATGAGACAAAGGAAATTCTAGTTTAACCTGAAAATGGATTTTTCTGACACCCATCTCTGCTATGTAAGGATATGATAAACATCATAAACCGTACCACAGAAAAACATTGTTCAGTATCTTCACTTCAGTTATGACTAAACTGTGGGATTTCAACCAATTATTATCCAAACACCAGATCCAATATAAAAACGGATAGACAATTCAAACTAATATATACTTTGTCCACAAATTATACCAAGTAGAAGCCATTATGCATCAATCCATCTTTTTTCCTGTCTCTTTCATATATTTTTATTGTTTATTTACATTTAAAAGTGTACGGAAAATTTAGTTTTAATTCTCAGATGCAGTTTTGTTACATTGAAACTTAATCATTAATCTATGATTTATTTGAGAGCCTCTCAATGTTTAAAGTTTTATCTGTGTTATACAATTTTATTGCATTATAAACAATGGAAAAAGTCACAGTCGAAAGTTCATGAAACTAAGTTTCTTTATTTAATATATAATTGAAGTTACAGTTTCCCACAGAGAACCTATCTTTATTTTATACATGTGAGGTGACTAGGAGGAGCTTTCTGTTTTGTATATGGACAAAAACTATGGAATAAAGTTTCTTATTAACCTATACATGGATAAAGATGTTTTTACTGTCTCTTTAAAAAGGCGAAGCTTTGTTTATCATGGAAATGCCCTTAACTTTCAAGCTACTTTGCAGGCACTCCACTCAAGTGCAAACTAATGACAGAGCAGATTCAAGACAGCTGATTGTTTTTGAAAATGGTGCAAGATATTTAGCAATCTACAGAGAAAAACAATGCAATACCGCAGGAACAAAATCTATTTCACCCTGGTTGTCACTTGCAAAGCAAATATAGCTTATAGCATCCATGTAAGAGTCTTGTGTCCAGTAAAATGAATGCAGACACAAGAACAAGCACAAAAAAGGAAAAATATTAATCTTTGTGCTTGTCCTCTTCAAAGTGCTGAATTAAGGTTTTTATGCTTCCATTATGTTAACTTCCTACTCAAGTTTTGATTTTAAAATTTAATGTGAAAGCCTATAAAAGATGAGAAGTTTAACTGTACAAAAATAGATCGTACAATAAAATACAAACATGAAAAAATAGTGTTAAACCTCAAGTCCCAGAGCTACCAGGTGTTGTGTTACTTGTTGATGTCACGCCAGATGTGGGTGTCTTTGGTGTACCTGGACTAGAGTTTCTCTGTTGTGTGACGCTTGAACCTGTCATCCCAGTGGGTAAAAGGCCCACAGGTGACAACAACCCTGCCGAGGTGGGCGTGGTAGGTGTTGTTCCCTTTGGTGTAGTGGGCACTCCAGTTTTTTGAGATGATAAACTAACAGCAAAAGCTCCAGGGGTGGTAGGAGTGACAGCTTTTGCTGAAATTGCCCCAGGGGTAGTAGGTGTGGTTGGAGTGGTCACACCCAGGGTTGGTACCCCTGATACTGTCCTTACTGTTAGTGTAGATGGCTTTTTCATTGCGTTTATTGTCTGTCGCATCTGGGAGACTTTGGTGCAAAGAAGGCGTCCCATTCCTCCAAACTCTTTTTCATACTGTTCAGGGGAATCAGGTGGCAAGCGTATTCTCAGTAAAACACCAGGACAATGTTTCTACAACAAAAAACATACGAAAATAATGAAATTTGCATAATAATTTGTTATTTTTGCTAATCCTCTGTTCTCAGTATTCAAAATGGGTACCTTGTAAAGTTCTACTTCAGCGTCTGTTGATGAAAGCCTAAAAATGTGACCATTCAAATGAAAGCTACTGAATATTACTTTCCTGTGGTACTGTTTATTATGCTGTACAAGGTGGTTCTAACTTTTGAGTCTGTGGATGAAATCCTATAGTGTGGCTATTCAAATGAAAGCTACCGGGCAGTACTTTCCTGTGGTACCGTTTATTATGCTGCACAAGGTGGTTCTAACTTTTGAGTCTGTGAATAAGGTTCTGTGGTGTGTACAATTAAAAGAAAGCTCTTCAAAAGTACTTTTTCATGACACTATTTGTTTTTGAGGACCTTACACAATGAAATGCTGGACTTTTGTATTTTTCATTCATTTTTGTGTCCTTTGTGAGAATGGAAGGCTTGTGACACAGGAACTGGCTTCATGTAATAAGAGGGGAAAGTCATGGATCTATATAATCACCAGCAGTAGGTTCTTGAGGTTTTCTGCAGCATTTTTCTCAATAGGATCCAAACCTTCCTGACCTTGCTTGATCAAAACACTTTCAGTCTTGAGTCTTGAAAGAATAAGGACTTTAATAACCTGTAAGGTAACAACATCACAGTGAGCTCTTTGGTAAATAAAATGTTGAACTTTTGATAAGAAAAAAACTACTGTAGCTTAAGCTCAAGTCATACCTCTTGCCCTAATTCAGCTAACCCTGTGATGGCTCCGTAATGAGTGGAAAGTGGAGCTTTCTCTTGATGTAATGCCTGCAAGTAGAGTGATTTTACTACATGTTTAGCCATACGACTGTCAAACACATAGCAAGTGAGATGATTAGAGATGAACATGCACAAAAATACAGACCTTGCAGTAGGTTTTTGTAACTCTTGTCTGCACATTGTTTGTGGTTGAATTAAATGACCTGACAAAGAAATACACTTAAAGTAAATAATACTTAAATTTTAGTCAATAGATAGTAAGAGAAAAAAAACAATTAACATAAGAGTAATTTTCCATTAGCCGAGTGTAACGAAAAAAGTGGAAAATGTTAATCTCACACAGCGCTGGGGGCCTGGGTATAGGTCATGTGACTGAAAGGTTTTGATGCATGCACTATTACTGACCTTCCCATCCACCCACACTAAGAGTTTAGTTTTGTAGGCTGTTTAAGGTGTTTCAATGCAGGTTTTCAAAGGCCATATCAATATTTTTCAATCGCATTAAAAGTGTTTTTTTCCTTGACTGATCGCTATAAATTTTTCACCTGTAATTGGCCATGGATTGAGATTTGTGAAAATGTAGTTTAAAGTAAAACCAATATTACTATGACAACAACAATCAAAAAACTTTGAACTTGATAAAAGCCGAATTTTGTGTGACCTAGACCAGCTAATGAAATTTCAAGGTGTTGCAGTAAATCAATCTTAATGACAGTTTCAGCCATTATTACATATATTATAAAAATTATGTGACGAGATTTTAAAAAAAATTCGTCCAAGTCATTTCAGAGACATACAAAAAAGCGCTAAAGGTCCAAATTTTCAATGCACTTACACTTAGACGGGTGGTAACAAAACGGATTAGTGTTAAAGATCCCAAGAATAAAAATACACCAAAATTTCCTACCGTAGAGATATGATATTATGCAGCATTCTGACAATACTTAAGAGTAATTTGAGTCATTAATAACATTTTCATTAAAAAATCTTTTACGGCTATGTACTGGGAAACACATATCATTAGCGATATGTGTTTCCCAGGTAGGGTAACACATATCACAAGGGATATGTGTTTCCCAGGTACGGAATATCACTAGGGATACATCTTTCCAGGGTAGAGAATAACATATCACTAGGAATATGTGTTTCAAAGGTGGGGAAACACAAATCACTAACGATATGTGTTTCCCAGGTGGGCAAACACATATCTCTAGGGAGATGTGTTTCCCAGGTGGGGGAACACATATTCCTAGGGATATGTGTTTCCCAGGTGGGGAAACACATATCAATAGGAATATGTGTTTCCCACTTAGGGGAACACATATCACTAGGGATATGTGTTTCCCAGGTGGGGGAACACACATCACTAGGGATATGTGTTTCCCAGGTGGGGGAACACATATCACTAGGGATATCTGTTTCCCAGGTGGGGGAACACATATCACTAGGGATATGGGTTTCCCAGGCGGGGGAATACAGATCACTAGGGATATGTGTTTCCCAGGTGGGGGAACAGATATCACTAGGGATATGTATTTTCTAGGTGGGGGAACACATATCACTAGGGATATGGGTTTCCCAGGTGGGGGAACACAGATCACTAGGGATATGTGTTTCCCACGTAGGGGAACACATATCACTAGGGATATGTGTTTCCCAGGTGGGGGAACACATATCAGTAGGGATATGGGTTTCCCATGGGTGGGAACATTTATCACTAGGGACATGTGTTTCCCAGGTGGGGGAACAAATATCACTAGGGATATTTGTTTCCCAGGTAGGGGAACACATATCACTAGGGATATGGGTTTCCCAGGTGGGGGAACACATATCACTAGGAATACGGGTTTCCCAGGTGGGGGAACAGATATCACAAGGGATATCTGTTTCTCAGGTGGGGGAACACATATCACTAGGGATATGGGTTTCCCAGGTGGGGGAACACATATCACTAGGGATATGTGTTTCCCAGGTGGGGGAACACATATCAATAGGGATATGTGTTTCCCAGGTGGGGGAACACATATCACTAAGGATATGGGTTTCCCATGTGGGGTAACACATACCACTTGGGATATGTGTTTCCCAGGTGGGGGAACACATATCACTAGGGATATGTATTTTCGAGGTGGGGGAACACATATCACTAGGGATATGTGTTCCCCAGGTGGGGGAACACATATCACTAGGGATATGGGTTTCCCAGGTGGGGGAACACATATCACTAGGGATATGGGTTTCCCAGGTGGGGGAACACATATCACTAGGGATATGTGTTTCCCAGGTGGGGGAACACATATCACTAGGGATAGTTGTTTCCCAGGTGGGGGAACACATATTACTAGGGATATGTGTTTCCCAGGTGGGGGAACACATATCTCAAGGGATATGTGTTTCCCATGTGGGGGAACACATATCACTAGGGATATGTGTTTCCCAGGTGGGGGAACACATATCACTAGGGATATGTGTTTCCCAGGTGGGGGAACACATATCACTAGGGATATGTGTTTCCCAGGTGGGGGAACACATATCACTAGGGATATGTGTTTCCCAGGTGGGGGAACACATATCACTAGGGATATGTGTTTCCCAGGTGGGGGAACACATATCACTAGGGATATGTGTTTCCCAGGTGGGGGAACACATATCACTAGGGATATGTGTTTCCCAGGTGGGGGAAAACATATCACTAGGGATATGGGTTTCCCAGGTGGGGGAACACAGATCACTAGGGATATGTGTTTCCCACGTAGGGGAACACATATCACTAGGGATATGTGTTTCCCAGGTGGGGGAACACATATCACTAGGGATATGGGTTTCCCAGGTGGGGGAACACATATCACTAGGGATATGTGTTTCCAAGGTGGGAGAACCATATCACTAGGTATATGTGTTTCCCAGGTGGGGGAACACATATCACTAGGGATATGTGTTTCCCAGGTGGGGGAAAACATATCACTAGGGATATGGGTTTCCCAGGTGGGGGAACACAGATCACTAGGGATATGTGTTTCCCACGTAGGGGAACAGATATCACTAGGGATATGTGTTTCCCAGGTGGGGGAACACATATCACTAGGGATATGGCTTTCCTATGTGGGGGAACACATATCACTAGGGATATGTGTTTTTCCAGGTGGACGAACACATATCACTAGGGATATGCGTTTCCCAGGAGGGGGAACACATATCACTAGGGATATGTGTTTCCCAGGTGGGGGAACACATATTACTAGGGATATGTGTTTTCTAGGTGGGGGAACACATATCACTAGGGATATGTGTTTCCCACGTAGGAGAACACATATCACTAGGGATATGTGTTTTCCAGGTGGGGGAACACATATAGCTAGGGATATGGGTTTCCTATGTGGGGGAACACATATCACCAAGGATATGGGTTTCCCAGGTGGGGGAACAGATATCACTAGGGATATGTGTTTCCCACATAGGGGAATACATATCACTAGGGATATGTGTTTCCTAGGTGGGGGGAAACATATCACTAGGGATATGTGTTTCCCACGTAGGGGAACACATATTACTAGGAATATGTGTTTCTAAGGTGGGGGAACAAATGGAAGGTGTAAATGCGCATGATGAAATGTCATTACATGCATTTCGTTCATTTTTCGTGGAAGTCCAAATGAATGCTGGCTACATATATATGACGCATGCGTAATAGCAGCCTGGTGATTAGGATTGCGGGCGACAAGAGGAGCCTTTAATTATAACTTGTTAATGCTTGTAATGACAGATTGCAGATAGCCAGACATGAAATAACAAACCTGCAGATTTGAGCAATAAGTCTTGAGCCAAAGTCTCTTAATGCCCAGTGATTATCAGTGTCTGGCTTTGGACTCAACTGTTTACTTACAATACATGTCATCACTGCTGGGATTAACTCATGTAACTGAAGAAAGAACAAGAGATCCTTGAGTTAATGTCAAAACTTAATACTTACTATAATGCTAGAACAACTATAACAAAAATTTTAGGGATCAGTTTAGGTTCTTCGGAGGCTGCCCACCTACCCCTCCCCTAAGCCAACATTATCACTTACTTCTCACTTAGGGCAAAATGGTGGCTTAGGGGAGGGGTAGGTGGGCAGTTTCCCAGAAACCTAGATTGATCTAATTTGAGATCTGACTATTAGGTACAGAATCCTAAGGTGTGACATCGTAAAAAGTTAAATTTGTAAAATTACGGGATTTGTCATGATATTCTTTAAAAAAAAACACCCAAAAGGCCTACTTGCCAAAAACTGGTATTTCAGGGCAAATTGTCTCAGAGATATTAGCCAAATTATGGTCTGATTTATAAGGTTATGAACAAAGACAAATTTAGAAGGATTTGTATGGAGTAATCAGAGCATAACTGGGCTAATACCTCAGAGACAATTTGCCCTGAAAAGCACATTTTTGGCAAGTAGGCCTTTTAGATGTTGTTCTTTCAGAATATCCCAACAAATCTTATAATTTCAACAAAGTAATTTTCATGACATCATCACTTTTGAACTCTATCAGCAGTCCTGATTTTTGCGTTAGAAGGACAGTGTTTTTTAACAGATAGCATGCATCATGCTTAACTGAAGCATCAGCAAAACACAGACTGAATCAATGCCTTAAAATCTGGGACTGGATTACAGGGGTTCATCTGATCCAGGTTTTGTATATGCAGTGCCTAATCATTGCTAGGTACAGTGTATGAGAAAGGCAAGCTAGGTACTGGACAGAATGTATCATTGAGCATGCCATAGCAGAACAGTTTTTTTCTTAATCTTGAAAAAAGGCTTCAGGATCTTCTTGTTAACTTATTATGAAATAAAACATTAAGACTACACCGTATCAATGTGTTTTTCTTACATCTAAGTGTTACAGGTCAAAATCAAATAATCCATGAATAATTGGGGCAAGGAGATAAAGGAAATTGACAATTAACCTAGGTTAAAAAATTTAACCTGAATTTAATTTTAAGCTGTAACATAACCACTTACATATTTTTCTAAGTAGAGGGTAGGATTGTCCAACAGTGCTTTCACCATGCGCATCAAGTAGATTAATAGCACTAGGTTATTCTGGGCCACGTTTACTCTTACCTACAAAAAATAAAACAATACACAAAAACATGAACATACATTAAGGCAACAAACTACTATAGGTTCCAGTAATTTTTAGGAATGTACTACTCTTTTAATGACTTACCCCTTCAGATATAAAAGTACTAAATCGTGGCAGCATTTGATAAAGTCCTGGGTCTGTTGACAAACTCTGAAGAGCTTCCTAGAAATAAGTAGATATGTGTCAACAGTAAATCTTTTGTTTTAAAATAAAAAAACATTAAGAGCCAGAGAAATTGTGAAAGCAAAATGAACTGCAGTCAAGTCAAGGTTGTAACAGAACTTTGAAGTAAGTGGCCATATTTTAGACTAAAAAAGTAAAAAATGTGCATTGTTTCATCTTTTCTGAAAATACTCATCAGGGTTTGTACTCTTTTGAGCTCTTCAAATTCCATGACTTCTTCCATGACCTTTTCAAGTTTTCCAGACCTTAGGTTTAGCTGTCAGTATTTTTTGACCTTTTACGGTTCAACAGACACAAACTCTGGCATCCACCAAAAATACGTGCCGTTTGCACTGTTAAGTTACTCCTTATTTTTCAGTGTACATTGTCCTTGCCTTGTCATCTGCGGTAACTTATCTAGCAAACAAAACTTTAATTTTCCATAACTTTCAAGGACCGACAATTAAATTCTTTGACTTTCCAGGACAGGAAATTGAAATTCTTAAATTCCATGACTTTCCAGGTTTTCCATGACCTGTACAAACCCTGTTAATAAACATTTCAGCAGGTTTGTTGTCCAAGACATCCTCCAGTAATTTTTTACAGAAGATGATTTTCGCCTTTAACCAGTTCCTTTTCATACCTTAAACCAAAAGGTGCAAACTCTAACTGCACATGACAAAAACTTTCTTTCTGAGAATATTTTATCACGATTTATTTTTTCACTTTTGGCCTGCACAGGTAACAAGTAAATCTTCTGATGAATTTGGAACATGAAGGAGAAACTAAGTTTGCTTGCACATTATTTTGTTGTTGTTGTTTGTTTGTCTCTGTTTTTGCCTCACCTGTTTCTTGTAGTAAAAGTTTGGACAAAGAGTGAGTTAAAGAACCTTGGGTAACCAAGAAATCTTAGTTTTTGTATAAAAGGCATATGCTGAGCACACTGGTTTTCACAGAACCTTGAACATGAAAATCTGTGGATCTTATCAATATCGTAAGTTCGCAGCAAGCTCATCAAATTATTATGCAAGGAAACTTACAGCTCTTCTAGATTCACAGGATCCAACACACGCTTCTGTAATTTCCTTGTAATATAGCTGTTGCTCCTAAAATAATACACACAGTTAAGACTATTCTTGAGTGTTTCTCTCATCAACTCCATCTGCTCCTTGGCAACTTCAAATGATTAATGACTATACATACTTAAACAACTTGGTTATGTGTGTGGATCCACTCATGCTTAAATTAATGATACTTCCAAGAAATAATTATCAGTGTTTTCATTAAGAATTCCAGTAGCAGGAGAAAGGTGTAAAATTACAGGAGAATATTCTGAAAGAGGCTCCACGTCTGAATAAAAAATAGTCATAAGCTGCCACATGTAAGAAATCTGCCTAGTAAATAGAGAATTCTCCAAATTTGAACGCCTAATGACCACCCTGATTATTCCAAACCCCTGGACATCCTGGTCATTCCGACCAATCCCCTTTTCACCGAAAAGGGTTTGAAAAATCAGGATTGCACTACATACACACCAGTGATGCACATTGCAAAGTGGTAAAATGTAAAAACAGTACTTTTCCAACATAAGAAAACATACCACAGATAATTCATGAGTAACTTGTGGTTTTGTTTGTTTATTCTTGTCCTCAGCACTCTCAGCAGTAGTGTTGATGCCAGCTTTTTTTACAGCTGCTTGTTTCTTTCCTTTATCTGCTGTTTTTGCTGGCTGTAGTTTAGTTGCTTTTGTTCCTGCTGGTACTGCTGTGGCTTGCACAGGTCTACTATCCTTAGCATCTGTATGGTGGGTAAAAGGAAACACCGATATCAGGCCCCAGTTGTTAAACATTGGATAAGTATTAGGGAAACCAATATTGCACTATCCACTGGATAACATTATCCATCTTTTGAACAACTAGGCCTAGGAGCATGCCAAATAAATTATTAATTATTTAATTATTAATTATTTATTAATTATTATTGTCATTGACGCTTAAAATTTTACAAATGCATAATAGGCACATAGCAGAAAAAAAATGAAATTGGGTGAAAATTTATTTCAACTAGTTCAAAATATTTTTAAGTAACCTAAAATAATTGCGTCTACTTCATTTCATATTTAACTTTCCAATTTACTACCGAGCATTACTTACGCTGATGGAGAATGTCAAGTTTTCATACCATTTTGTTGACAACAAACTTCAAATAAATGATGGTTGATATCACAGAAAATTTAAGGAAATATTTCAATGAAACACTTTATACAGGGATGTCACTAGATTTCAAGTTGCAGGGGTAAATACAACAAGTAGGCAGGGAATAAAATAGCTAGGGATTTCTTTTGGTTCCATTTTTCTTCTATTTTCCTATGAGAGTAGCTGGGGCTATGTTTATAGTGTCCAGGGGAAATCCCCGGCCCCTGCCTCTTAATGACAGCCCTGATATACGATGGTCTTAAGAAAGTTCCACTGTCAGATTCTATTCAACAATGCACCGACCTGGAGGAGGGTTTTCTGGAATGGCGGGTTGAAGACCATCAATACTCAGCCAATGCGCTGAAACAAAAAGCAAGTTTTATCTAATACAAGAGTATGTTTCTAACTTCAAATACCCGTTATATTAAAAAATTATTGTTACATGCCTACAGAGGTACAAAATAAATCAATGCATATGAACAAAATTCTTTGATGTCACCATTCTAATGAAAACTCTTTGACAATACTTTCATGTATTATTATATTTTGTTTTTCAGCATATTATAAAATGAAATTTGGATATTTTGTTGAATTTAGACTTTGCTTCTTTTTGGCAGTACCAATCCACCCTGGGGATTTCTACCCCTGGGGATTTCTACCCCCAGGGTTAGACCCTAGGAGATTATCCACCCCTAGGGTTTAACCCTAGGAGATTATCCACCCCCAGGGTTTAACCCTAGGAGATTATCCACTCCCAAGGTTTGACCCTAGGAGATTATCCACCCCCAGGGTTTAACCCTTTAAACCTCAGCTCACTAGTGACCAGCAACCAATTTGGTCTAGCGATAATACAGCCTGATTAAACATACAGGTCATGACAAAAAATGATTTGATCACCAAAGATAAAATAAAATGTCTTGATGTTTGAACAAATTCTCTCAGGCAGTACCATAAGAAATGTAGGAAGAACAGTGTGAAGAATATGTATATTGATATTGAGGCTTAAAGGATAAATAGTTACCTTTGACAGTCACATCCACTGGAATACGAGGTAACTGAGAACTCACAATGTCATTCAAGTCA